TTCTCCCTCACGAGCGACATTGCCTTTTTCGGCGACGTTGTTGAGGCGATGCGATGTCACCTTAAAAAAAATGTACTATATATATATATATATATATATATATATATATATATATATATATACCGTTCGGTAACGAGCGGTCCGTGTACCGGTCAGCTGACGGACCGGTACGTACCGCCCGTATCGGGCGGTATTATTCGAAATTGTATACCTTAGTTCTTGACAACAAAGACATGCTTATTTGGTCTTAAGGTTTTTGTGAGGACTTGCTATATTAATTGTCAAAAATCTTTATGGTCAAACTAGTTGACATTCTTATTATATCTTGGATTAAGGGTTCAATACCTTAATGGCGACGATGACAATAATTGTAAGTCACTATGTCCTGAATATTTGTTGTTGGTTACATGAATCTTTTATTACCATTGATTTATATAGAAAACCATATCTTTAGTTAAATTTAGAGTGTTTAAATATATATGTGAAGTTTTTAGTAGTCTTCTTGGGTCTTCCCTTACCTCTCCTCATATATATCATTAATAGTAATTGGTTCCTCTTCTATGTACATCTATAGGTCTCCTTAACATATGGCCAATATTCTTATATGATGATATAAAATTTGTGTATATGTTACTTATTAATAGTTTAATTCTCAAATCTATAAAACATCGTTGGTTTGACAATTGTCTTATAAAATTTTTATTTCAATGATACGAAGTTTTTTGCTTGTGGGAACTTTTTGTCCGTCCAATTTTTCTGTATCTTTAGATTTGGTGAAAACCAAGGACATTATATCAGTAAAAGTTATCTGAATCTCATAAAATTTCTTGGTGAAAACTTGAAATACAATTTAAGGTGAGCCTTTGATATGCTCCATTTAGTATGTAGCCTTTTGATCAAGATTGAGATGTGACAAGTTGACTTTTGAATTCGTTTTTACTATTTTTCTGTAGGGAAAGTGTTAATCTCTCTTGGTTAATGCCAACATGTAGATCCATTTGATTTCTATGTTGTAATTTTCTTGCAATTGTTTCTTGCTTTAATATGACTAGTCATAAATGCTTCTATAACACACAAAAGGTCAGTCATCTAGAGCATCGGTAATAAACCACATGAATGTATAATGTGCATCTACTATATTGGATCATATTTATTCTTCATATTCTTTTGGGTTTTTTCAATAAAGTCTATATAGACCTTATAGCTGCAGTTGCACTTAGTTGTAGGTTGTTATATATTCAGCTCAATTTGAGTGCAGCTTGCATCTGAACATTTCTTCTTTAAAACATGCCGTATTTGAGAAAAAAATGAAGCAAATATGCCTACCAGGTTGCGGTACTTCTGGGAATGGATTCAGATTCATTGTCATCATCTTGCAATCCAGGGCAGATCCCTTCTTCCAATGCAAACATGAAACCTGAAGTACATGCGCTTATTCACAAGTTGGTATTGCATATCCATGAAAGTGAACCAGACATTGAAAGGAGCATATTGGTTTTTCTTCCAACATACTATTCCCTGGAGCAGCAATGGATACTTTTAAGGCCTCTTAGTTTGTTATTCAAAGTACATATTCTTCACCGAAGTGTTGATACTAATCAAGCACTATTGGCAATGAGAGTTTGCAAGTCTCACCGCAAGGTACTCCACAAAAATCAATTCCTTATTGCTTAGAATTTATATTTCTGTCTTGTAATGTTTAATGTATACCTCATCTCCATGTTGATGGGTAAGAGTGGACTACTAGTTTTTTATTAAAAAATAAAGTTAATGCCAATGGATCGATGTGAGTTAACACCAAAGGCAATGGAGGAAGTGATATGGAATGATCTAGTTGAGTTCAAGTCAAACTCTAATTCGACTTAACCGGAGTTCAAGTCGAACTCTAAATCGATACTGATTCAATTGAACCAAGTTCAAGCTTAAATCCTAGCTCAAAGACCAGATCAAACACAACGTAAATCTCATTCGAGTAAATCGAGTTCCAGTCTAAGTCCGATTTAGCTCATTCAGAGTTCGAGTTGAACTCTAATTAAATCTCAATCCTGTTTAACCCAAATCGAGTTCGATTCCAAGCCCAAAAGACAGATTTGATCAACTCCAACCTGCAGCAAACTCAATCCAAGTCTCACTCGGATTGGGAGAGGAGTAGACAACCAAATTGAGGAAGAGAATTGTGGCGTCGGCCCTAGCAATGGAGTCCTAACCTAGGTAGGACTTCATCCATAAAAGGACTAGGAAGTAGGAAGAGAGTCCTAACTAGGCCCTAGCAATGGAGTCCTAACCTAGGTAGGACTTCATCCATAAAAGGACTAGGAAGAGAGTCCTAACCTAGTTAGGACTCCACCCCTATAATCAATAGGAAGAGGGAGTGAACATTATGAAGAGGGAGTCCTAATCTAACTAGGACTCTATCCCTCCATCTATAAAACAAGGGGATGCTCAACCCCTTTAACTCATTGAATCCAAACTAGACACTCTTCAAGTCCCAGTTGGCCCTAAGCAAAGTCCTAGTCGAAGAGAGAAGAGAGGAGAGAAAAAAGAAGAATAAGTTGACAATCATCAACCTTCCTGTAGCAGCACGTTTGTTGCAAATATTCTTCCAAGAAGTTGTTGCTCCCTAGTAGCCTTCCCAAGATCCTTTGACAGTAGCAAGAAGAGGAGAAGATAGCAGAAGAAGAGAAAGTAAAGTGAACTTGTGACAACTCTTAGTAATCTCGAGTCCAACAACTTCTCCAAACAGTAGCATAATAGCTACTGCAACTCTCAGTAAACTATGAAGGAGAGAAAGGGAGAGTTCGGTGATAAGTTTGTAACCCAAATAGTTCGTGATTGTCGCACGAGAAGTTCGAGCCTTTATCGCTCTAGAAGCCTTTGCTTAGTTCTCTGTTTTAGGTACCTCTATTTTAAAGTAAAGTAGATTGATTTTGCCTTTAGATTTTGTGTTTTCTACAACACAAGATGCATCGTGAATTGCTCATACAGGTCTGCTGTTTTCATATCATCGTTCCTCGCTTGTGGATGGTTACCACTAGGCAAAGATACAAAGCATCGGGTGATAAATTACACTAGTTGAAATTTCAACTTCGATCATTGATGAAAAGAGTCCATCCATGATGGAAACGAGCAATCCAACAGTCTTGGTGGACTTCTGCAAAAGATGGAGGTCATGATAGGTTGGTTCCAATCCTAAGCCATCCCAACAACAAGAGACGATGGAGATATACACATCACAGCGAAGGAGAAAGCCATCCTCATCAAATTTTGAAATTGGTTTGTTGAAGGCATGTTGTGGCAACAACGACAATGATGTTGTGATATCGATGAAAAAAGTGAGTCTTCGACCCTTTTGAGTTAAGGCTTAGATTAACATATCATCCTATGATGATACGATCAATGCTAAGGTATTAGATGTGTGGCTTGATCAACTTGACACCTATTTTACTCTCTATGGGTACAACAACAACGATGAAGTCGTGCTTGTGTGACTTAAGTTGATTGGGCATGCTCTAGCATGGTGGAATGTGTAACTCTGATCTTACACCGACGATGAGGTGACTTGGGGTCAGTTTAAAAGGCTCGTCTGATAAGAACTCCATTTGATGACCTACATTGAAAATTGGTCGAAAATATGGCATCACTTGTGCCAAGAATCGAAGCAATCGATGTCAGATTACACCACCTAGTTCCGACAGCAAGCAGTGGCGCTTCAGATTTCTCTTGACGGCCACTCAATAATCATGAAATATACCATTGGTCTACATGGTTAGACCAACACCAAATTGAGCCTTTTTAAGGTGTTTGACATCTCGGGCCCTGGTGGGAAAATCATGGTGATCGAAAGAAAGATTAGATACTACAGCGAGAAGATTGTGGTGATGGGGATATAAACAGGAATAACCTTTGTATAGGAACAAATACTAGAAGACCAAAATACACAGCGGAATAAAA